ACACACACACACACACACACACACACACACACACACACACACACACACACACACACACACATGAACACGAACACACACACACACACACACACACACACAGGGTAGTTTTTTTATTAAAAAAAATTTCCACGCGTGTCCCGCCACGTGTCCGAGCCCCATTTTGCTAGACCCTTTGATCGGAATTCAACGGGAAGCCCCCGTTATATCGTTCAACGGGAATTCAACGGGGACACCGAGGGTGTTCAACAGGTACAACGGCGTTGTACAAAACCCATTGCCCGTTAAATGGACACACAAGACGTAGCCACTCTCCACGCATCGGTCCGACCATGCAGCGCATCGGCCAATCAGACATAGCAAAAAGAAGAAGGGGGCGGGAAGAAGGCAAGGGAACCGAGAAGAAAGATACAACTACAATGGCGCCCGCCCAAACCTACAGTTACACTCAAGATTAAGGGCGTCGTCTAGTTAGAACCTTGTTCCTGCCGCAGGAGGGTGCGCGCAAGAAAGAATCGCCGCGCATCAACAATTGGAAATTCCTAAATTCCTATCTACATCCGAAGTTGCAAAAGAAAATTCCGACAAGACGAAAAATTCCCAAAAAGCAAAAAGGAAATCCAAAATTCCGAAAGCCTTCGGGGGCTCAACATTAGTTGAAAGGAAATTAAAAAAGAAAGAAAACAAAAGCTCCCGTGCGATCATCGCGCGAAAATTCCCGTTCCCCGTGCTCACAGCAGAACAAGAAAGAACCAATGTCAACCGTTATTAATCGCGCCTGACGTGGCGCGTGTGTTCAACCATCCGCCCCGGGACTTCCTGGCCCTGGCCCATCACCACCGAAAAGTAAGAAGCAAAACAAAAAAAGAAGCAAGGACATCGATGCAATTTTACCCGCCGATCCCACCTCCCGTAATTTGCCCAACCAACCCCGTCACAGGACCCCTCGCCGTCATCGCGCAAAAAATCGTGGGGCACAGAAAGTGGTTCGTCACATATATGACACCCAGGGGTTTCCAATCTTGAGCAAGCTCCTGCTTGCTCGATATTACGACACCTGTCGATCCCTCTAATCGATGAACGACGCGGAGCTCTCTACGTGCCATTTACCGTATGATAAGAGTGTGGAAGTCATCCAGCGTGGCATACGTGGGCTCTATCCTACAAGTTTCCGGAGAAGGGCAATCTAATCACTGATGGAGGAGGCGGTGGAGGATTTTGGGGAAGAGGGGGCATGAATCGATCGATGGTCGGGGACTCGAAGGCGGGAAGGGAGGTGTAGTGGATRGAACGATGGATGCGAGGGAAACGGTTCTTCGCATTGATAGGGGAGGGAAGCGATATAGTCRGGRTAGAAAGTAGAAAGGGTACGACGGACGRCAGTGCRAAAATTCYCATAGTTTTCRCAGACRGGGATCGTTCCTAATATAATACAGTATATTTCTATATTGTTATATTCCCGCTAGTGCGCACTCAACAGAAGGACATGGAGAAGAAAAGAGTCTACCACAGAGTGAGTGGTAGCGTGCGGAACGACGGTGACTAGAAGGCGGGTGGCGTAAAGTTGGTGGAAGAGGTCGGGAGGGAAGGGGCACCATCGAGTGGGGAACAGGGGTTGACCAAGTAGCCGGGAAGGGACCAGGAACTCAAGGGGACGACGAGATAACAACCGGGGACGAAGCCTGATCGCCCGCATCTTGACGTAGGCGAAGGGCAGGGTGGGGAGGGGAACCAGACGGAGCCGGCGATTCGCTCCTCCTTTGGCCATGACGTCCTAATCCCCCCACTGCGGCTCCATCGCCTCCGTCTTCCTCCCGTGGGGGCTCCGGATCGAGCCACGGATTTCCCAATAACGGGTCGGGCGGGAACCCTTCCTCAATCGACCGCTTTCCTTCCGCTCTTTCCAGCCGCTTCCGTGCTTCTGCCACCTCCTCCTCCTTGCGTCGTTCGGGCCGTTGACTCGGCTCCCCCGATCCACCCTCCTCTTTTGTCGGTTTTTCTTCTTCTTCTTCAACCTCCTCCTCTTCCTCGACGGAATCGGGGTCGTCACGATCCTCGCTCGATTCTTCCTCTGTCTCCTCTTCCTCTTCGATCTCCTCTTCCTCTTGCCGCGCGTTCCCTCGCCGAATGATAGGGTCCTACAGTGTGAGATCGGTGACGTCGATCTCGAGGTACAGAGCCTGGGACGGATAGATGCAGTTATCGTCGTCCAGCTCTGTACACGCGGAGTCGTGGACCATAGCAGATGCGGTTCAAGCGTCCGGGAAAGCACGTCGATGTCTGGCCAACTGTCACACCGCGATAAGATGTCCAGAGGCAGGTCGTCCACCAACTGCACCAGAAACACCTGTAACTCGTTCGTGATAAGAGCGAGATTCCCATCTTCCACCTTCCCGAAGAGTATCCCTAATAAATCCCTTTCCGTCGTCGTCCCCCAAGCTTGCACAATCAGCAGTTCCACCTCGTCGTTCGGGATTTCAGGCCCTTCTCCATACGGCGCTGGCTTGGACCAAAGGAACTTTATCTCCAGCAGACAGAAAGCAAGCTCCACGTAAGCCTCCCACCACTCGTCCCACTTATCTTTGTCCAGGATCGGCATGCTGATCTGCTTGACACGATAGGAGAAAGAGGGCGGGCAAGCAGATTGCCAGAGGGGAGGGATATCAAAGGGAAGGCCGAAGAGAGAAAGTCGGCGGCGACTCATTGGGGCGGCGCGAAGGGACGAAGCTTCGGAAGCACAATCGGCGGTGAATCGCTGGAAGAGCGAAGCTGCAGATCGATGTCGTGAGGGGTCACGACCATATCCCCACGTCGAGCAAGAAGCGCTGTCCACACAGCCACGATCTCTTCTCCACAGGCTCGCAGGGCCCGAAAGATGTTTGAATGGATCGCCGACGGTACTGCTGTGATGTCCCCCATGAAGACGACGATGACGGAGACATGACTAATCCTAGGAGGAGACAAGCGTTGAAATGTCGAGACCTCGGCCAGGACACGTGTTGGTGCTGCCTGCGCAAACCGAAATTTTCCCGCCGCGTGGATCGCTGTTGTGCTGAAGAAGGCCACGAATCGAAGAAGATCGACGCTGAGGCGTGGCCGCTTTACTTGCCGGATGGTACTGATCCGCCCCCTTGGAGTTAGCAGCTGCGCGCTAATCACCTGCTCCGCTGAAAAGCTCACGGCGATGGGGGCGGGGACGAAGTAGCTGAGAGAGAAGGAGAAGGAGAAAGAGAACTTTAAGGGGGCGATCTGCAGTCGTCGTCCTCCTCAGTAGCGAAAGAGGAAGCAGACGAAGGTGGGGATGAAGAGGAAGGGAGGGGGCGTAGATAGGACACTTGGCGAACGATCGGGCGAGCCGATCGGCTGTCAGAGACTTTAGGCACTAAATGCGTCGTGTTCACCCCGTTCGGACCGAGCTTGACTATGGGAAATCGCCTGAAGAATCGTGGCGCTAGCTTACCCTGGCGAGCACATTTCCTCGCCTGCAATATGTCCCCTACTTTATACTGGGTCCGTGGTCCCGCGTTCCCATTTCGGGCCTCGTAGCTACAGACCCGTCGTCTGTGGGCCAGTTCGGCCATTCGTTGGCATTTTCGGGCCAACCGGGGGAGGGACCGTTCCATTAGCTCCAAGTGTCGTTTGGCCTTGTCCCGGACCGTGGCCCTTGTAGGCTGTCGACCCAGGGCAGATTCATCGTTGAGGCTCGGTATTGAGACCCATGCCAAGCTATTGGTTTGTAACTGAAAGGGGCTCAAGGCCTGTGGCCCTGTGGATTTGTGAGGCGTTCCTCGATGGAATACTAGTCCGTTCGATTGCAACGTATGGGGTGCGGTGTTACGAATGGCAACCCCATGTATGACCAGATTCCTTAAGACTTCCCCCCTAAATTCTGCCCCGTTATCCGTTAGAATTTCCTCGGTGTCTTGGTGCATCCCGAAGAAACGGTTGACGTATCGCACGATTTCAGTTGCCTGTCTCGTTCGATTTGGGTACGCCTCGATCCATTTTGGAAAGTGATCTACGAATACCAATAAAATTGAATATTCGCAGCTACTCGGTCCAGGGGGCACCATTATATCGGTAGTATCCATGCTAACTCTCTGAAATGGTCGTTCGACTACCATGGGCACTATCGACCTTGGCGGTTGAATCGACGTCAGACCTGACAGTTTCGGACGATGAATTTAACATCGTCCCGAATATTGGACCAGTACCATTCGTTCTTGTCGATCACCGTCTCGGTGATCCGCACGGCGAAGTGGGCGGTGGTATCCTCGTGGGCCGACTTAACCCAGTCATACTCGATAAACGGGTGTGGTACAATCATCCAAATCCCACTACCGTCCGTCTTCTGTTTTTCCAACCGTCCCTCGTTCCATCGATAATCTCGAGCCCTCTCATTGGCCCTTCTCCGATCCTCCCAAGTGAAGTCTCGGAGGGGGTTCCGGGCTCCCTACTACGGTCGCTATCAGAGCGACATCGGTCCAAACCTCAGCCCTTCTGAACCTCTGAGTCTTTTCTAGCCCTTCTGACGTGCGATCGAGGAACCGAGCCTCGGTTGGGATTTTATCGGTCCGACACAAGGGGCACAACCAAGGCTTATTGCCGCTTCGGTATTGGATACAAGAGCCATGAGCTCTCGATACACACTGCCGACAATCCACCCATTCGACATACCCATCCCCACTAGGATGCATAGGGACCAAGTAGACCCGCGAGATTGCTTCACAAAAATAACAAAATTTATCGGGTAAAGAGAGAAAAGACGAAGAAGAGAGGGGAGAGGAGAGTGTTGGAGTTACCTCCGTCACCCATTGCCACATGCTTATTCCGCGGTGCGCGAGAGAAATGCCACCTGTCCGTACTGGGGCCCACTGGTCGGTTCCGGTTCCTTCCAAGGGATGATGTCTTCGCCCTTGGCAACCTTCGTCGGACGATGCAGTCGTGTCAATCCGTCCACGTTTCCATGCCTCTCTGTTTTCCGATGGACGATGTCGAAATCGTACTCTGTAGCCTCACCGCCCACCGTCCCATCATGCCCATGTAATTTGTGAGCCTCTTAAGGGCCAATAGCGGCTCGTGATCCGTAACGAGGAGGAACTTCTGCCCATACAGGTACGGATGGAAGTGCTGGATTCCCCAAACCATCGCATAGCACTCTCCTTGCGGGGCCGAATCATTCCTCTGTTCGTCTGGTATAGTGCGGGAGGTGTACTCGATGACGTGCTCGTGTCCGTCGTTCCCCTTCTGCGCTAGGATAGTGGAGATTGTCTCAGGTTGCCAGTCATTAATAAGGATGAACTGCTTTGCTGGGTCCAGCCGGATCAAAATAGGTGTCGTGGCCAGGGCCTCCTTGAGAGTGACAACGACCCGTTCGCACTCTGTGTCCCAACTGAGGGGCTGGTCCTTTCGTAGCAGCTTCGTTAAACCACTAGTACATTTGGCACGTGGGAAAATAGCAGGCCTCCAGTGGGCCACCGACCTTTTCGGAGGCCGAAACGAAACGACGGCCGCCGATCAGATTTATCAATGGTAGTCGTCGTTGGGCCGGGCCTCCGAATCTTTAGGAGTTTGGGAAAACAACCAGTTTTCCCTATTTTCCCACGCTGGAAAGGTACTAGTGGTTTAAGGGCCATGCGATAGCGACGAAACCCTTGATAAATCGTCGATAATATGAAGCCAGTCTGAGGAAGGCTCGAACTTGTGTCAACAACATAGGTGTTGGAGCGTCTCAGACAGCCTCGACTTTTCTCAAATCAGTCCGCAAACCTTCCTGTGTCACCACGTAGCCCAAAAAGGAGATCTCCGGGAGAAAGAACTCACTTTTCTCCAGCGCGATCTTGAATCCGGTGTCCCTCAAAGCTCCCAGCGTCCACTCGATGTGTTGCGCGTGCCCGTGGTAGGATTTCGAATAGACAAGGATGTCGTCCGTTTACACAATGATGTAGAAATTGATTATCCCCTATGTCGGTCGAGTCTTGTCGACGAATTTTGAAACGTCACATTCATCACCTGCTGGAACGTGGCCGGCACGTTGCAAATCCCCATCGAGCATCGAACTCACTGCCACGTGCCTTCAAACAGAACAAAGGTTGTCTTAGGCCGGTCCTCTTCCTTGACCGGAATATGATGAAACCCGTGACGAATATCGAGCTTACTGAAGTAATTAGCACAACCAATCGCATCCAACAAATCATCAATCCGAGGGAGGGGGTATACATCTTTAATCGTGATATCATTCAACTTGCGATAATCGATGCAAATGCGGACTGATCCATTCTTTTTTGGTGTCGGGACTACTGGGAACGACCATGGCCCCGTAGCTGGCTCAATCCATCCGTTGGCTTCGAACTCTCTAATCCTCTGTAGGGCCGTTTCACGCTCAGCGAGGGAATATCGATATGGTTTGCAGTGGATTCGAGGGTGATTCCCGGTCTGAACATCGTGTTGGATAATTAGTGACAACCAGGGTTGTCACCCGGGGACCCCCGGGGCCAAAGCCAGGGCCGGGATTTCACCCCCGGACCCCCTCCCGTGGGGGTGCCGATCCCCATACCCCGAGATTGACCCCCGCGCCTGCCCGACCCCCGACACCCCCGCGAGACCCCGGCCCCGACACCGAGCACCCCGGCGCCAGCCCCAGCCCCCCGCCAACCCGGGGCCCGGACCCCGCAAATGACCCCCGCGCCTGACCCCCGACACC